AATCAAGCAGTTAAATGTTAGGAAAATATTTTTTTATTTTAAACAAACTGAAAACCTAAAAATATTTGGCACCTTACAGAGTCGTTCAAAGAAAAGGCTTCACAAAGAAGTATAGTAAATAATAAACTTTTTTGTTTTAAAGCTGTCTTGTGAAGTGTTTTTGTCCAGTCAAAGTGATTGTTTAAACTGTGTAAGGAAACAGTACTTCGGGTAGAAAAGTCTAGTCGCGAGTTTTTTTTAGAAACATTTTCGGTGAACAATAGAGGGGCCAGATTCGTCATATTCCTGTTTGGAGATCCACATCTGTTGGAAGGTGGACAGCGAGGCCAAGATCGATCCTCCAATCCATACAGAGTATTTACGCTCAGGAGGAGCAATGATCTTGATCTTCATTGTGGGTGGGGCGAGGGCTGTGATTTCTTTTTGCATTCTGTCGGCGATTCCTGGATACATTGTGGAGCCACCAGACAAGACTGTGTTGGCGTACAGATCCTTACGGATGTCCACATCACACTTCATGATCGAGTTGTACGTTGTCTCGTGGATGCCTGCAGCTTCCATTCCAAGGAAGGCGGGTTGGAACATGGCCTCGGGACATCTGAATCTCTCGTTACCGATGGTGATGACCTGTCCATCGGGAAGCTCGTAGCTCTTCTCCAAGCTGGAGCTGGAAGCGGCGGTGCTCATTTCTTGCTCAAAGTCAAGAGCAACATAGCACAGCTTCTCTTTGATGTCACGCACGATCTCACGTTCGGCAGTGGTGGTGAAGGAGTAGCCACGCTCGGTCAGAATCTTCATGAGGTAGTCGGTCAAGTCTCTGCCGGCCAAGTCAAGACGAAGGATAGCATGAGGAAGAGCATAACCCTCGTAGATGGGAACTGTGTGTGTTACACCATCACCGCTGTCCATAACGATGCCAGTTGTTCGACCAGAAGCGTACAGAGAAAGCACAGCCTGGATAGCGACATACATGGCTGGGGCGTTAAACGTCTCAAACATGATCTGTTGAAAAATAGGAAGACAAAAAAAAAATCAGTTAACAGACTGAACAAAGCAAAAGGTATCTCAACTCAATGTGGCCAATAAGGGCCACACCACTAAACTGTATTTTTCACGGGTCGGTAGGTCAACGCAAAAAAAAAAAACCACAGTTGCCAAAATTCAAGAAACATCACAAACTTAATTATGAAAAATACTTAAAAGCAAATAATGTCATGCAAATTTACCGCTGAGGAGCTTTCATTTTAATAGCAACACCAAAGGATTTCGTCAACATATATGTACGTGACACTTAGTAATTAAGTTTGACTTCAGGCGTGCCACCAGAATGAAAGATGGAGTCATGAGAAGTGTGGTCAAAGTGCTGTAGTTGAACCTCTTTCCGAGTACTTTCATCTGGTACTGTTTATTTTTCAGCATTCACAAAATGAAATTTGGAAATAAGTCGAATTTTGACTTTAGTCACTTAAAATACCGACATTTTACTGAAACATTTCAGCACTCTAAATAGCTGGGGATAAACATCGAGTTGTTTTTTCCTGCACAGTCTGTCTCTGCGTGCCAACAGAGGGACAAATAAATAGTGATTGATTGGTTATAATCAATGAACGATTTTGTGGAAATCCCAACAACAAACAACGCCTGATCGAGCCCTTAACAAAATCTGACCAATCCTGAGCAACTTTAACCATAAAAGGCAACGCAACATACAGACAGCTGGGGACGTTCTTGCCTTATAGCAATGTCACGAAAACACCACGAAAAAGAATGAAATAAAAGGCTGTCGGAGTAAAACTGTTTTCGATATCATTTGGCTACACTGACAACTTGTAAAGTTAGAAAATTCGTCGTTGCTTTCACGACATCAATTCTACATGGCAAGGCACGAGCCTTGATTTCCGTACGAGCAAAACTGTTCATTTTTTGGCATGACAGTCTCGCGGGTTTGCCTTTTACAGCTGATCAAAGAGCTAGAAAGTAGAACGACGCTCGCAATTAATATTCCAATTCGGCGGAAGAGCAAACTTGTGAATAGCCTTTAAGGAAAAGGAAATTTTTAAATTCCAATTTTTTGTTCAGTTGTGTGTCAATTTGAATAACAGCAATTATTCTGTACGTAAATAAATTATTTAAGTTTCATATGTACCGGGATTTGTACAGTTTAGGTTGTAAGACAAATTAAAATATTTACCTGTGTCATTTTTTCTCTGTTGGCTTTTGGGTTGAGAGGAGCTTCAGTCAGAAGAACTGGGTGTTCCTCGGGAGCTACACGCAGCTCGTTGTAGAAGGTGTGATGCCAGATCTGAAATTCAAGAAAATCTCGGGTAAAAAAAAAATCGACTTCCATGTTTGCACTAAGAGATTAACTTACCTTTTCCATGTCGTCCCAGTTTGTTACAATGCCGTGTTCGATGGGATATTTGAGAGTCAGGATACCTCTCTTGCTCTGAGCTTCGTCGCCGACGTACGAGTCTTTCTGACCCATACCAACCATCACACCCTGATGCCTTGGACGGCCAACGATGGAGGGAAACACTGCACGAGGAGCATCGTCTCCGGCGAAACCGGCCTTGCACATACCGGAGCCATTATCCACAACCAAGGCAGCAACGTCTTCATCGGCCATTTTAGTATGTTGTTGGATAAAAAAATTAAATATCCTAGCTTTCACAGGCGTCTACTTGCGTCTCAACGACCAACTGAACAGAAGTGAAAGGGAGAGTGGACTACGAAAGAATATGTACCCCGGAGGAAACCACAGGATTATTTCTTCGCCTTATTTGGTCATAATTTCATATCTTTTTGACCCTATTGCATTCAAAATATTTTTAACAGGATGAAAAACCAGAACGACGAGTGATAATTACTGACGTAATCAACAGCGTTCCTCTTAGCGTTGTCAAGGCGACAGTGGCTTGTACAGATTAAAAGATGAAAGTACATATCTGCTCTGTCTACCGCAAAAATAACCACGTACAGGAGCACAAAAATATTTTGAGTCTCTCGGTTTGTCTCTGATAAGTTCTAAGACGCGCAGAGAAATTAGAATGTGTATCTTAAAACTACACATCTCGAGTTTGCCTTATACGGTTTGGAGAAAGCGATGCTAGCTGATGCTGTCAAGATGGCGAAAACAAAACCAGATCAGTACATTCCGAGACCTTTACTCTCGTTTTGATTTGATAAAATATCAATTGTGACCTTTTCTAATAAAAATGGTTAGTGTCGATCATAAACGGCCGTACATTTATGACGAGGCTTTCTACATCAGCATCAGTCTTTCATGGTCAAGCATCGTGACTACCTGTAGAACGTTTTAACAGCAAATCCCCTTTGAATATCTAAACACATATGGAAGTAATTCTGGCCCAAATATTATCTTACTATTTAAAAAAGAGAACAAAAATGCAAAACGAAGTAAAAATCTCCCATTTGATTTCCTACTGCACGAAATTTTAACTGTACCCTTTGACGTCGTCCCACTCGGGCCGAGTTCGAAATGTTTAAGTGTAAGTATAAAGTTCAGATTTCATGTCACGTAAGGACGCTGAAAAAGCTGAAAGGCGTCATCAGTAAACAATGTAAATTGTTGAGCCAAACGTTTTTCTGCCACGTTTTATACTTTTTATTCAAAGAGGTTTTTTAAATTTTGTTATCTATTACTATTGGGATCATCAAGATCTCAGGAGAGCTCTTCTGTACAACGCAAGATGTGTGATATTTGGGATACGTGCCTAGTCTAGCACGAAACAGGCAAAGCTAAATAAAGCAGGCTGAATTAACCTCATTCCAATCTGTTTTCTTAAGTAATGAAAAAATGCTTGGAAGTCTGAACTCGACCTCTCTTCCGAGGGAAGTAGTTAGAAATTTTCTGTGGTCAATCACGCTTTTTCATTGCACTACCTCGAAAGTGCTAACCTGCAATGGGGCCCAGCTCTCTTCCCTGGTCAAAGAAGAGTGCAAAATTCAGCCCCCACCCCTCCTTTTACATTCAAGCAATCACAAATCTACAATTCTTCACTGTTTTCGATAAAATGCTTTTCAATTTTCTCAAAAGTAATGGAGATAAAATTATAAGGAATCTATGCCAAATAGGAATCAAGAAAGATTTAAGACACTCATCGGGAAAAAATTCAAATGAAATAAGACATTTATTATTGTGCTGCAGAGCTGAGCTGCAAGAGAGTCCCCAACGGTCCTTCAATCCCGTCATCTCGTGTGAAAATGTGCCCGTTAATCAAGCACGGGCTAAACACGAAAGTTTTCGACACGGTGTCGACTTCATTACAGTCGACTCTCTCTTAACGGACACCTCTATAAGACGAACACCTCTGTAAAACGGACACTTAGAGTTGGTTCCTGCCTTTCTTTACTCCTTTTATTTGACTCTCTATAAGACGGACACCTCTCTAAGGCGGACACCTAGTGCCGGTCCCAAAGGTGTCCGTCTTAGAGAGAGTTGACTGTATATGCCCAATAAACCACAACTGCTCAGCGGCAAGACCACAAAACTCTTGCATTGTTTTCCTGATCGTCCGGTAATTCCATCAGAAGACAGAATACTTTTAAGCAACCTGACATCAGGTTCTATTTTCGTTTCGTTTGGTGGGATGAGTACTATTGGGCGATTGGTAATCGGCTCCTGGTGGGATCATGAAATTTCGGCGAGCAACTGCGCAAGGCGGAAGGAAGAGAATTTTTGGCCACGTATGAGAGAATGTTTCAAAAAAGCTGCTAAAATTGGGCCTGGTCTCAGGTTAACTTTCAAGAGGTTCAATAGGGAAAGGAATTTCGATGAAATTCTACAAAATCGTTCTCTGACTGCCGGGTAGTTAAGTCAATTTTAAAATGACTCTTCCCTGCTGTCGGGTACATAGCTACAGCGCCCCTTACAGCGTTTTTTTTTTTTTTAACTTTCGTGCTGCTTTTCTAGCTCTTGTAATTGTGCGAGGATTGGAAGTGCAAATATTTGGTAATAGGGAAGACCAAAGTACCGACAAGAGAAATTTTCCCAATGAATAAGCGATGAGAGGAGTAAGATATTTGGAAATTCTCGAGTAAAATTTTTTGGGGGGTTTATGTGTCTTCAGGGGTCAAAATGTTATATCTGTAAACGTATTTCTTAAAACTGTACTAAGTTGACTTATTTGCTGGGGGTCACAGCAAGCTCTATCAAATAAACTGTCAAGTTTAGAAACGTCATGAGTTTTAACAAGCTGAATCATTTTATAAATGACGCTCAGTGATTTCCAGCGAACGTTGAGGAGCGGGATTTCTGAAAGAAAGAAGGTAAGAAGCATTTCACTGCCAGTTCGTGTTTTGAGGATTTTGGGGAGACAGTCGACTCTCTCTTAACGGACACCTCTGTAAAACGGACACTTAGAGTTGGTCCCTGCCTTTCTTTACTGCCTTTATTTGACTGTCTATAAGACGGACACCTCCCTAAGACGTTCCCAAAGGTGTCCGTCTTAGAGAGAGTTGACTGTACAGTATAAATAGCTGCTTAATGATTTTTGTCAACAACAAATTTGGTACAAGTGATTTCATAAGCCATGATTTACTTGAACTCTATGTAATTGTGTAAAAGCCAGTCCTTCAGTTTTCTTTTACCAATCATCATTTTGGCAAACTTGGTTTAGCTAAACTTGTTGGTGTGAATAGGGCATATTTGGCATAGAACACAAAAGAGAGGCACGCGTATCCTGTGCCATTGCCGTATCCTGGAAAACGCGGGGGATGTAAGAAATGGCATGGCTGCCCCCAACGACACTGGTAGACGAGGTAGAGGAAATGTAACCTAAATGATGGCTGCTTTCCATGTCGAACCAGTCAAAAACCAGTGAAATTATCAAGAGAAAATGGCACGACATTATTCGACTGAAATAATGTTTCCAGTCGAATCGAAGCGATCCATTTGCGTTTCGACCGAATTTTTGATTTCTTCTTAGCAAAAAAGGACTGGAAAGGATAATTCTTGGAAATGGAAAGGCAAGTTTCGGTCGGACCGGACCGGACCGACTGGTTAAAGACGACCACCTCTGGAGATGGACGACTTTGACCGGAAAATTTCCACGCGAATCGAAGCATTCCATTTATTTCTCGACCGAAATTTACCAAGCCGATGATTTTGGCATAATGAAAGCACCCATGGTCCAGAACTGACTCAAATTATAAGATGGTTGAATACGACACACATGTACAGTCAGCTGTACTCTGGGTGTCACAGCCAGAGACTTTTCTAGCGCGGTTTCCGGTTTCTGTCAAGTCTTTATTATAGTGACCCGCGCGAAAAGCGTTTTTCTCGCGGCTTCGCCGCACGCGAGAAAAACCTCTGGTACCCAGGCTAAGTCAGCTGACGTTGGGACCGAAAATAAAGGCGCTTACCGTAAGTCAGAACTGGCCGGCTGGCTGGTCTTTGCAAAAACGAAATAGGCTTTCTTTGAGAGTTTTCGCTAAAAACCCATGGAGTTGCTTTAAAGTGGCAGGGTGTTCTGCAGTTAAGCCAAAACCACCACTGCCGTGCGTAATATTTAGGAATGGAATGATTTGGCTGGAAAGTTATGATTGACAGTGATAGCATCCGCAACTTAGAGAATCCAACACGAAAATGATAAAAGAACAGAAGGAACCAGCGCAAGGTGTTAGTTTTAGCTAAGGGTTAGTCTGTTAAGGGAGCAGTCTGGGTGATTTTTTGGGGGAAATGATGTTGATTTGGAAAGGAAATAAATTAGGGTAGGAAAGGTATAAATGTACAGATAAACCACTTAGTCCGCTAATAGCACCTTGCAGTGGTGTTCGACTATCTGGTAATTGTCGACTAATGACTCACTTCATGTTTTAATTTCTAACGACCCTAAATCCAATATTTTCCAATTTTCCAAAATTGCTAATACTCTCCCTCCTCTAATTTTTTTACACTAAAACCATTCGAAAAATCCTCAAAAAATTTTCCAAAAATTATTGAAACAAGGACTCCAGACCTAATTGAGTCATTTTTCGATTTAAGAAAGAGGACGGAAATAAACGAAAAACAATGCTTTTAACTAGACTCCCCCCTTAAGAGAGCTAAAAGACTTTATTTTGATGTAAGCAGAGGGAACCTGGCACTGCTTAGTTTGATTCTGACCTGGTCTTTTGGGGAATCCTAGCTATTATATCATGTTATCCAGAAGACAACAAAGCATTAATTCTATGCATACTAAGTGTTTATTGGGTTTAATGTGAAGAAAACACAAGTAAACAGGAAAAAAATCTCCAATGAGTATATATATTTTGAGTACATTTTCAACTTACCATTTGATGTAGAGATTGGGGGTAATAATTCCAGCAGCATTTTGAGCAATTTCCTTAGTGTTTGTCTGCTGTCTGGCAAGTTCAGTATGAGACTCAACACATCCGAATTGTCAAAGACTTCAAGCATCTTTGCCATTGTTGTGTCAGTAACAGTCTTACATGTAGATGGTGACTGGTCAAAAAATATCGGCAGATATTCTGTTACTGCATCCCGCTTCTCGAGTACAGATAAAGAATTCCATGTTGCAGGACATTTGAAGAGTTTGGCCAGCCCATCCATTGCAACCTATCAATAGAAATTGAAGAGCTGCTGTATTTAGGTTGATCAAGCACTCCATTTGGAAATCAAGCTCCCAACCATAAATGATCTAAAAGACGCCCACTAAATTTTGTCGCTCCAAGAGGATGAGTTTAATAGAAAGAAGGCATTTAAAAGAAGAGAGGTGTTTATTCTCCTAACTGTAAAGAACTAGAAAAAACTGATACAGTGTGCTTTAGGGAAGTCCAGATCATCTGCCTTTTGACATTCATTATTATTGCTAAGCATTTTATGCAAGAAGCAAATTGGTGACATACTAAGGACAGTGCAGGGTTGTCACTAAGTTTTCAAGTTGCTGGGTAAATACCACAAGTCGTTAGAGAATAAAATAGCTAGGGATTTCTTTTGGTTCCATTTTTCTTCTATTTTCCAATGAAGGTAGCCAGGGGCCACATTAATTATAGCAACCAGGGAAAATCCCAGGCCCCCTGCTCTTAATGAGAGCCCTGTCAGTGACCAAGGAAATCAAACAGTGGAGTTTACTTTGAACTGAACACTGAACAACATGCTTGTACCTTTATGATCACCTGATACCCAGGTACCCTCTTTGCAGAAAAGGGTATACATTAGAGTATGTTACCGTTGGCAAAAGGCAATTTTTCATGATAGCATCATTTTGCTTAGGCTCAATCTCTACCACTCTCTTGAGTCTGGGCTATGTTCCTTTTGGGGGATGAGCTGGGCTAACTTTCCCAAACAACAGCTGGTAATCAAGCCTACATTTTACTAGAGGAACCAGAGTTCATTTCTTATTTAAATCTATTGATACCAATGAGGCTTAAGCAACAATATCTGTCCTTAATTTGATGAGAAAACAAAATCCTGAAGCATTCTTAAAACAATGTGAAAATGGTCTCTCTAAATTATCATAATACGATACTTTAGAGAGACCATTTTCACAATATTATTATTATGGTTTACCTGATATAGAAAGCTACTTGTACATTTGACAGGATCACTCAGAATGTTTAGAACAGTTCGTAAGGTTAAGAGGACAAACTTTACTGCAGTGAGAGGAAGGAGAGCAGCACATGAAATAGTAACTGAACAAAGTGAAGAACAGGCAATAACCTGACAGACATTAAACCTGTTTGGAGAGATAAAATATCAAAATTTTAGTGTTAAATAATTCTAAAATGGCTTTACATGTACATATTATCTTAAAACTTTTTTCCAGAAATGAATAGCGAGAGCCATGGAGCACAGTTGAACAGACTCCAGCTGGTTAAATAACTATTGTGAAGTGGTATCTGATTTCTATTCTTCCAACCCCTGTCTTAAAGAATATTGCAGTTTCTGTAACAAAACTGTGTATATTTATGCACTTTACCTTGTATTGGAGGAACAGTCTTCATAGGTGGTTTGAAGATTCTTGCATATTATTGTTACTAATGAATCAAAATTATAGAACAGTTAATAGACCTCTTCAGCTAGTAAGGATTGTTTTCCCAATACAAGTCACGTGATAATACTCTAAAGAGCTGTTTCTATCAAATTTTCGTCTGATTCAGGTGCATATCTGCGCATAATTTATGAAAAGACAAAAGGCCAAGATCCCCTGGGACCTCTATTAGGAAAACAATACATACAAGCTAAAGAGGTCTATTTGGATGTAATGATGAGGATGATAGACTGTCTCATTGAAGAGGGCAAGCCAGTAAAGCCAACAATTTGATGAGATAAGTTCTCACATGTACACATTGGTAAAACAATGCAAAACTGGATGATACTACCCCCGGGGAGGTACCTCCATATATGGGCAATGTAGGTATGTGCCGCTATGGAGGGTACGGTTTTTACACAGTTTATAGGTCTGGGCCCGGGGGGGGGGAAGGTACTTTAGGAATTTCTGGGTGGGGATGTGCCGTTGAGACCCTGGAACCCTTAACCTATACCAGAGCTAGTTCAGCTAAATTTTGCTACCCTATACTAGAGTTAACTCCCCGAATCCCCCCTATCCTAGAGTAGCTGTTTCCCTAGTCTAGATAAAATCTTCAACCAACTGATCAGTTTCCTGAAAAATGATACCCTGTTCCTATTTTTGTTTACCCTACAAAACAACAGTAGCTTGCAAAACCCGATTCAGCCACCACCACTGTTTTGGTTTTTAAAGCCAGCGCTTTTCGCTACTAGTGAGCTATAACATATAGCCTAGTAGTAGCTCAACCAATCAGAACACAGCATTGATAATAGACCACTAGTTGGCTTTTACTAAATGCATATATGCAAAGTTCCAGGGGCCAGATGGTGCATTTCACCAGAAAATCCCTAAAGTTCTTCCCCACGCCCCCCCACTGCCCCCAATACTACCAAAACTTGAAATTCAAGTTGTTTACTTAACACTGATATCTTGCTACAGAACTTATTGTGCGTGATAGATAATGCAACGAAAAAAAGTCCCTTCGTATCATTTTAGCTTTTGACTTCAGTACCAAAAAGTACAGTACTTAAAAACATTATCGATTTTCTTACCCTGTGTTTCAAAGTGCTGTCCGTTAGGATCCAATCCTAAGGTGAATACTCTCAACAGACTACAAGCCAACGACCGAACCCAGCGACAAGGCGAGGAGAGATAGGAAAGCAAAGAATTCACTTGAACCTCAGCATTCAGAGGATTCTCTGGGAGTAGACACGGGTGATTTGCAAGAGCTGTAACTAACCTAACCTCCACCATCAAAGATAAGGAACGAGATTCACACGTTTTATTGAGTTTTTCGGCATCTTTCATGACTTCATGTACTGTCGGTCTTGAAATATCGTATTTCCTACACAAGAGCAAAACGTCTTCTTCACAACTAGCAACATAAGCCATTTGGCCTCTTTCATTTCAAAACCACCCTCAATTCGCGCGCGTTTGAAGGACTTTCGATCAATCAGTCGATAAGTGTTCGGTACACTCCGTAAAAGACTCGTACTGGCACTCGTACTCGCCGTATCCTTTTCGGTGAATCTCGGCGAAGCCGTGAGAGTGTCGATGACCGTCGATGACAGTTCGTAACAGCTTCGTCAGCCTCGATATCATCTTCAGCGCCGGGGCGCGAAATACAGTCAGTGATCCAAAAAGTGTTCAACATGGAACTGGAATCATATGTAGATAATTCGCGAAATTTGACCATAAAATCTACTATTCCAGAGGTAACATTATCTGAGCCATGTTGTGTTGGCATCGATGAAGCGGGCCGAGGGCCAGTACTTGGTAAAAGATTCCTTTCTTTTTGCCTTTTTAACTTAACAATGCATGCAGCCAGAATGCTTAAGAACTAGCTTTTAAGCAAACTTAGCTAAAGCTTATAATAGACAGTCTCTGTTTTTCAGGACCAATGGTTTATGGAATTTGCTATTATCCACTATCAAGAGCAGAAGAAGTTAAAAATCTTGGTTTGGCAGGTAAGTCCGTATAAGAATTAAAATGATTGCTCACTGTAAGGCTAAAAGTCAAGAATATGGTACCTGTCAGACTCCAAGGTACCCCTGCGAAAAGAGCCTCCTCTTGTCTTCTTGGAAGAGGAGGAGAGTGAGGAGGCTCTGGCTGAATCAAGCGTCAAGCGTTTAAAGTGTCCGCAGCCTCCCGTTGTTCAAACGTTGGATAGCGCTATCCAGCGGATAAGTATTGGGGAAACTAATATTATTGTACTATCCACAGGATAGAGATTTATCCAGCGGATTCTTGGTTTGCAACCACGTGACAGGGCGGCCATGTTGGGGGGTCAAAACAAAAGAATATTTTCTTGAAGAATTTTCATGAAAATAGAGTTTAGTTCCCAGAGGAGAGAAATGCTTTTGTTCTTGACCACCAACATGGCCGCCGTGACGTCACGTGCAAACCAGCGATAGCGCTATCCAGCCTTGAACAACCGAGGCCTGGACTAGTCAATCTTCTTTTATCAAACGCAAGTATCCCTTTATTGATAAACTGATGGTCATGACTGAGCCTATTGTACCACATGGACTATTAGGCCTGGGTTCAAAACTGTATGATAGCAACATGCAGCGCATGTTCAAAAAAGACCTTACTCAATTCAAGCAGAGTCTTACTTGAGTAACCCAAAATGAAGCAAGAAAAAGAAAGGCTCTGCTGGCAAGGTGACCCCTGGGGAACTCCCATGGAGATGCTCATCAGAAAATTGTGCCTCGGTGAATTCCAGAGTATTCCCATGGCTAACCCCGCACATGGTGGCCTGTACACAGACGTTGTTTTATTTTTCTTTTCATTCTTTTCGAAAAACATTGGCAAGCTCGTTAGTGAAGCAAGTGCACAAGAACGAGCACAGAGCGCAAGAAAGAAAAATAAAGAACATCTTTAGACCCCCTTGCACTGGCGGTCAATAAATCCCCTACGGTTTATATTTTATCACCCAGGCTTGACGGACTTTGAAGAGAAAATAGAGGGTCTGTGAACAGGCTACTGACATTGGCATTTTATTTTTTTCTTGGATGGCAATTTCTTGGGGGTGGGGACAAAATAAGAGGGCAAATCCCTCACTGATCATCCCTTATCAACAATGCAGCAATTTCACTTTAACAAGTGATGGTTGAAGTTGTGTCTTTTTTAGCAATAAAGAAATGCATAGCAGGGGTATTTTGCAGAACGCTGAATGCAGAATGCCAAATGACTCTGAAGTTTAGTGATTAGGGTTAGGAAACTGAGTGAATCAAGTTTCAGGTCAATTTTCCCAGTATAATGACCCTAAATGGAACCTGATTCACTCAGTTTCCTAACCCTAATCACTAAACTTCTGAGTCATTTAACGTTCTGCATTCAGCGTTCTGCATTCTGCAAAATACTCCTGCCGAGAAATGCATGGACACTAACTTTGGGACCTGAGAGGGTGCCTTTAAGTTGGTAATTGGTTATGTGAGTTGACTGAAAAATGTAATGGGAAGTGTGCAATTTACAGTTTCTGTGAACCTTCTTATTTTCCATAAGACTATAAGGCTGCAGATCACTGTATCAGATAAACTTCATGGCGAGCCAACCCATAGTAGAGTTAATGCAAACAATAAAGTTTGTGATTAAAATGTGCCCGGGACAACTTGTGGTGTTAGAGAGACGTTGCTGTTTTTCATAGGATTTCTCCATTCTTTCCAGATTCAAAAACACTGTCAGAAGAGCAACGTGAGGAACTTTTTAAAACTGTGGATGAAAACAAAGAGTTTATAGGCTGGGCTATAAATATTTTGTCACCAAACTATTTGTCCAAGAGTATGCTGAAAAGGTAAAATCATTGGATCATCTAGATGTTTTATAGTCAGATAAAACTCTCTGAAGTCTATTGCCAGAATGATCTTCCCTGCCTCTTTGAAAGGAGCTTTGAAGTGGTATTTTTGTGACTGCAAAGAACAGTTCTTTCTTGTCTCATAATTGTTTTATTTAAATCACGCTGTTAAAGTTACAGTGTACCTCTTTGTAACTTTAGCAAAAAACAGTTAAACCTTGCACAATTAATGTCCAGCTAAAATCTGCCCTTGTTTGATGAAGTCCTACAAGTACATGTACCTGTGGTCGGTCTGGCATGATGACTAGACTACTATCAAAGACTATCATTTTGTTACTGAAGGACAACTTTTCTGGTTTGTCCAACAAAAATGGTGTCCTGGTTCAGGGCTCGAAAAAGGTCCCATCTGGTAGTCTGCCGGGGACAAACTAGATTTTTTTGCTGCAGTGGGCAATTAACTTTCTAAGATTTCTTGCCCAGTGGGAAAGGGTCTAGATGAGTCATCCTCTCACGAAATCAGTAACATTATCAAAAAAGGAACAAAATGTGGCCTTAGACAAGCAAAATGTAAGAGCTGTTTGCCCAAAGGACAAGCTAGAATGCAAGTTGTTTTTTTTTCAAGCCCTGTGGCTGGACGGTTAAGCCTGAAGAATGTTTGATCAGTTCCAGAGCTGTCACTTAAGATTTCATGGTACTACGTGTAGCAGGGAGTTGAACAGCTATGATATTGTGTTGGTTCTACTTTCCTTTTACTGCCTTTGAAAGTAGCCAGGGTTCATGCTCATAGTAGCTAGGGGAAATCCTCCATCCCCGGCCCTTAAATAGATCACTACCAATACTAATACTATTCCACACTTTTTTGAAAGGACAAAGTACAGTTTGAATGAAGTTTCACATGATACAGCCATTGGCTTGATTAACCTTCTTCTCACAAACAACATAAATGTACATGAGGTAGGGATATAAAGTTATCTAAACTTGAAGGCATGTGGTATCTTAAATCTTTAAATTTTATCATTTTTCTTGTCTTTCCTAGTTCCTTATACAATTTAGGGCAAGTATTTACTAATTCCTGAAACAAGAGTATTTACTTGCAGCATGATCAAGAAATCTGCATAAAATAAAGTTCATTAAGTCTGCCATGAAAAAATGAATGACAATGTACCTTCTTTTATACTGTTGAACCCTGATAAAAATATGGCTCAGTAGGTGTATACTGTACTTGTTGAGAGGTGCAGCATGCTAATTTAAGTTAATAATAAAGGCTTTAAAATGTTTCAGGTTTATGTTGACACTGTGGGAGTGGCTGAAAAATACCAAGATAAACTTCAGAAGATATTTCCTGGTCTCCAGATTACTGTCACACCAAAGGCTGATGCCAAGTTTCCTGTTGTGAGTGCAGCTAGTATTTGTGCAAAGGTAATTCTCAAAATTTTGTTTCCAAATAGACCAATTAAAGAAGAGAGAAGTTTCCTAAGAGGTCAGGAAATGTCAAATGTTTTTATTAATTAAAAATTCTTTACTGAGTAGATGGATTGTTGAAATACTTGAATGTTACTAATCCATTTGTAAAACCCTTGAGAATCTTTTGTTTTTAAAAAGGTTATGATAGTATTGTATTGTATAGTTGGGCAATTAAGCACGCTGAAAACTTTTGTGCTTGAGTGGCCACTGGTAAGTTTGGTGTGTCGTAGAATCAATAGCAAGGGTTTTATGTGCTTTATGTCTCAAACATTATTTTTACCAGGTTGCTCGAGACAAAATCCTTAAAGAGTGGAAATTTCTGGAAAACATCCAATTTAACAAGGAACATGGATCAGGTTATCCATCAGGTAAAACATTCTTATGTGCGGTGTAACCAAGTTTGTTTAGTAAGAACAACCTCCAAGTGTCTGGATATGGGATGAAATGCCATTTTAGTCAAGAGTATTTAATATAGATGCTGAAATTAGCAATAGATTTTGAGTAAAAATGCAAAGCTTAAGTTTTTTAAACCAGTCCTTCATGGTACATATGTAACACTTTCCAGGATTTCTTTTCTATGATGAATGTTGTAAGGTTGTAGGCCAGCCTTTCAAAATATCTTGTGCTCCTATAGCTTCAATCTTACATTAACATACATGTATACCTTGCGAGCAAAACGGATTGATCACCACAAGTGAGATTACTTGGCACATACTATGTAAAATTGTGTGTGCAAAGTAGACCAGTCACCACGGTTATCATAATCTGTTGTCATTCTTTACAGATCCTACGACCAAAAAATGGTTAGCTGAGTCCATAGACAAGGTTTTTGGTTTTCCGCAACTTGTTCGATTCAGTTGGTCAACCTGCAGTAATATTTTGGACAGTAAAGCAGTTGCAATACATTGGTAAGTTGAACAAACTCCAATATTATGATTCTCATTACTGGTACTCCTTATGGATAAAATTAGGTCCATTGATTTAAGGCATTTGCCATGTACTTATGTTCTAACTTTTAGTTAGGACCAAAATCTTCCATTGAAACCTTTCAAATGAAACATGTTGGCACATGATGCTATTTGTTCTTCAGTATTTTAGTGTTTTGCAAGATGCAACAGGCCATTTGCATGATGGAGTCATTTAACTACTAATGCCATAATCCTTCGTATTTAAATTTGGTCATCCCAGAATGTTTACATGTAAATAACAAAAGCCCTAATTTAAACAAGAAAGCAAAACCCTGAAGGATTCTGTATTAGTAGAACGATGTCATTGTGCAAATGGCGTATTTGCAGAAAAAGTTTCTTGAATTTTGCTTTTGGCAAGACAGCATTATTCGGTCAGACTAGTCAGATTTTATGTAGCTACTGAAGTGTCCGTAAGAATATCAAAGGTACAGAAGTAACTCCCCATTTATTTTATGTTTTCCGTCTCCTCAGTATATCTTAATTAAAATTGTAATAAAAAATTTTATGTAATAACAGGGATGATGATGATGATGACGAAGATGAAGCAGCAAAAGGAACTGCATCCATCACTTCTTTCTTTACACCTAAATATGATTCTAATGATCGTCAGAAACACCAGTTTTTTAAAGAACGCCAATTAGAACCTGTTGAAATGTTCTAAAAGAAGCATTGTGCTTGAAATGGGTGCAGCTAAATTCTGTGTACAAAGATACTAATGTCACTACTTATAGCATATATACCAGTATTGTAATAAAGTATTTGAAAAGAATATTATTTTTATGAACTGTTGCCTGTTCATCATTCAGCAAGTTCCAATATACCTTTAGACTGTAACTGTGTCTAATAATATTAATTTCATATCTTTATGAGGATTGTACAATTAAAGGGATGTCAAAATTAATACTAGTAAGAATCTCATGGCTAAGGTATCATTTTTCAACTTGAACCCAACATGACTTGGTTGTTTATAATGTGTCTGTTAAATGAGTCAGTCTACATTTGAAACCTGGAAGGAAGTGGAAAAATCACCCATTATAAATTATATGTGTTGTTGACCACGCTTGTTTGGTTTTGTTTGCATATTTTATCGACCTCAACATCATTCTTGGTGCAGAAAAATGCAAAGTAGAAGAACCTGGCCAATAAACAGCCATCATGGGTTAATAAAAGATTGATTATATAGCCAAAACAAAATCTTCTCCTGCAGGACAAAATGGGTTTAATCCTGTAAGGGCAAGGTAGGCCCATTTTACCACTCTGCTGGAATCGATTTATTTTGAGTTCTTGAAGAACCAGGGTCCTGTTCCATACATTTCAGAGTAAATGGGAGAAGGATGCCTTTTGTTATTACCAGAGTTTAGTTTAAAATAGGGGCTTGTTATATTGTAGCTGCAACTTCACACACATGCATGCATGACTACCAGTCACAAGCTTGTGGAACAAATACATTGATCACCTCCATACAGGACAATAATTCCCAGGCCTCACTCAATGATTGCAATAGAAATTCATAAACTACTTTTATTTTACTTTGATTCTTCACAAAAGAGAGGCCATAAAATAGTAAGAAAACCATCCAATTCTGGCTTTTGAATAACAAAAAGGAGAAATAAATTACTATGAAAATATCAATCAGCTAGAACTTAACCTACAGAAATTCTACCATAAATTGAAAATCGTTCTTCTTCATTGACTTTTTCATATATTATTATAATTGTAAACCTGTACTATTGTCATACTATTAATCTCCCCTGGTATGGTAATATCATAAATTTAACCTGAGCCCTGAACAAGAACTACTAACTTTCTTTGGAGAGTCGCACCCTTGATTTTTAATAGTAAGATATAAAACTTTATAGTAACAGAACTGCAAAATACAGCTGCTTCTTGTCACTCTGATGGTAAGTGATGAGAGGAATATAAGTGAGTTTTTCAGATTATATATCTTCATGCCCAAGATACATAGAGGATATTACATGATAGCATGTAGATACAAAATTTCTCTTTAAGTGTTTGCAATCAAGTGAAATACACAATGTAATTTTTAATACCAGCAGAAGAGAAATTTCATACCTCCAAGTGGCCATGTAATGTTTGTTCTGCTATTCAATATGTTAACACCAAAGAAAAAACAAACCATTTCACTTTCATTTTTTTTTTTTTTTACCTGTGAAAGGTGCAAATCTTTGTGATCATAGCAATGATGATCTTTTAACATGTGAAAATATGTTTTTGGGTGAAAGCCAACCTGGTATTTCAATGGTGATAATATGATAAATACTAGTACTTTTTCTGTCTCCCTTATGATGAAAATTATCACTCTTGTGTACATTTTTAGAGTGCAGAGTGTTCTGTTTTAGTTACACCAAGGACATGACTAGGAACTGAAAATTAATAGAACTGTATGGTGACTGTATCGTGTTACATAGGGCAAGCGCTTTATTGTTTATAGTACAAAGTTATATTGTTTTGTTGGCTAGCTTTGTTAGAAAAAGGAAAAAAATACCAACCTTTTCATTGGATAAAATTACTTGTATTTTAAAACACGATTTGATTGTATGTTATTTTTCCTCAACATGCAGAAAATTACAAATTACAATTTTGCCAATTTCAACCACTGTTACTAACTTATAAACAAGAGTCTTGTACATTTGCATCTAAAAGTGTATGACAAAAAGTATTTGGATCTCTAATTTGTAAAACTCAGTCAACAAGAAATTCAAAAAGATTAAGTTTTTTATTATTGCTGCATCATGTTACAGGAAATGTCCACACCATACTCCCCCCATAGCAGGAATTGTGGATTGAGACCCGTCACACCTCCCTCCTTTCCCTCTTGGAAATATCACTTAAGCTTCATACAGGTACCTTCCTTTGAAATCTATACCATGGTGTGGATATGGACATTTTCTGGAACCACAACAAATTCCACAAATTTCTACAAGATACCAAAACTATTTACATGTAAAATCACAAAACTACAGCATTGCCCTTGACATAAATTTGAAAAGCAGCAGACTGTAATAAATTAATTTATTAAATTTGAGTGACTTTGAATTATTTCATATTCTTAACTATGTTCTGTACAGTGATAACAACACCTACCACCCCTCCCACAACTCCAAATATTATAAAAATAATGTCCTTAATAACCACCCCAACAGAATTAGTGTGTTTATACAGAACAAGGTGAAAAATGCAGGGTAAAATGTATGCTAATACTGAGCTGCCTAATGATCCAATCAGTGCATTCACATAGGCAAATTGACTCTTTAGAAGAACTGCAATTCCTGCAGTTACAACAACAAGAATGGTACGCAGCAAATTCCTTTTCCAAGTTGATGTCTAAGGAACAAAGATAACAACAGGTTATCACTAAGTCTTATTGTACAAGGTAAACCAAAAAACATGGATTACAAGTGGCTAATATTTCCGAAACAGGGAACGAAAAGGAAGCAACAAAATATACAAGCACTATAAATTAAGAAATAGGACTACGTGTATTTACTTACATTGTACAAGTAGGGCCTATAAAGTAAATATAAATACTGTACAAAAGCAAATAAGAAAAGTGACTATTCTTTTCCATAAAGAATAATGCCCATTCATCTGTAAATAATTAAAACTACAGACCTACTTAGTACTGATTTTGATGACAGCAAACTTACCACAAATTTAAGCTTGGGTTAAGCTTATTTGAATCCCATATTTTTTAAAGCAAGACTTCAAGTTACCATAATGATTATACATGTTTTGTTAGTGGTAAAATGGCATACATGCAAGCCATAACCTAATACTTACACTCAGCGAGTCTACATTCTACACACGATAAAAAAAATTGCTTACATAAGGTAAGTCAGCAGAGATCTTTACACAGAGGTAATTTATTTATTTATTTATTTATTACAGATTCACTCCACTGCATAACAAGCAAAATAATAATGAAATGAAATAAGCTAACACTACTTTAACAAACAAAAACAAACAAACAAAAAAAAGGTTGTGGAGAAGGAGACAACCAAAAGCACCAATGCGCCGTACTAGGGATGCCCCCACTAATTAACATATAAGAAAAATAATACAAATAGAAATATAAATGTTCTAGTTATCCTTAATAAAGCTTAACACATTCCTTTTAAAAGTTGCAATACTGTTTGATTCTCTAATATGATTGGGTAAACCATTCCATTCATCTACAACACGGTTAAAAAAACTATATTTAAAACCATCAGTTCTACTAAAATTTGGAACAAGGTCCTGTGTGTCATTTTTCCTCAAGTTATAACCTGTATTTCTGTCCTTACAAAATATGAGCTTATTTGAAATGTCAATATCATAATGTCCATTAATTACATTTAAAAAAAATGTAACATCTCTAGTGAACCTCCTATTAGATAATGACAACAATTTTAGCTTAGATAGTCTAGTATCATAATCATCATCAGACCTAGTGATCCATCTGGTAGCTCTTCGCTGAACAGCCTCCAGTTTATCAATGTTACGTTTAGTATGAGGGTTCCAAGTTTCGCATGAATATTCTAATAAAGGTGTCACAAGACTACAATAAAGTGTGTTCATGGTATCAATATCCTTTAAGTCCCTACAAGTCCTCTTAACCAACCCTAAAACCCTATTAGCCTTAGCAGTTATTTTATCTACGTGTTGGTTCCATGAAAGATTACTAGTAGTAAATAATCCTAAATCTTTATACACATCAACACTTTCCAAAGGTTGACCTTCAATATTATACTCCCCAACTAATGGTGACTTTTTCCTGGTTATTCGCATGATCTTACATTTCTTGGTATTAATTCTCATCTTATTCATCTGACACCAATCTGAAATTTTGTCTATGTCACTTTGAAAAGTAGACAGATCTTCTTGAGTACTAATTAATAACCCTATACATTTTACTGTCATCAGCATACAGAGCAATTGAACTGGTAGGTAAGTCGGGAATTCCAATAAACGGTTCACTTCATTCATTTCTGAAGCTTCAGAAAATATTTATGAACTGTTGTTTGAGACAAACAACTTTTCAACCTCTAATTTTAAGTCTCTCCAGCTGATTTGAATATGCAGTACCACCAATAATTGATGTAAAATGTAAAAATTCATTGTTAGGCATCAATGTGAAATCTTCAACCTGATGTTTTACATGGTTATAAGCACCCCTTGAGTACCACAAGTCATGATCCCAACTATATCCCCGAGCCTTCCAAGCCCACCTCTACACGCAACAAAAAAACACTTGAACTACTACTCATCCTTCAAAGACTATATAAGCCTGTACCTTATACTGAAGTTCATCAGAATCACTTGGTAGAAGAACTTGTGTCTCAGAATTGATACTTGTGGATGTATGATTGGAGGTTTCCAGTGAAGGATAAGACTGACTTTCATAAGAGTTTATAGATGGCTGTTGGCTGCTTGTTACATCTGTACTAGGTCCAGCAACTATCTCACTCAGGTGAGATCTTGTTCGTGAATGCTCTTTGGTGAAGAGTATTGACTCAGCAATTTCAATGACTGGGTACAGTTGAAGAGGGTATGTCATTAACACGGCAATTATGAGGGTGACTCTGACCAGTTGTGCTGGTATTTGTGTCCCAAGGGTGCATGTCACGATCTGAGGGACCCCACTGCCATAAATCAGATAGCCAAGCAATCCAAACGATCCAAGGATACATGAGACAATTGCTAGTGTCAAGTGCAGGTACAAAGGGAAACGAGGTCTGTTCTCTGCCATGCTTGACTCCATAGGTATAACCTACAGTAGAAAATAATTTCCAGTAAAACTCATGTACATACTACTCAAGAAACCAGGATGTCTGTACACCCTTATTGCAGCCATTTCAGTGCCTCCTTGGGGGCACTGAAGGAAGGATGCTTCAGCCAAACAAAATCGGTTTCCTCACCCAAGACTACAGCCATAGCAAAAAAAGCTTGTGGTCACCTGTTTTGCAGCAAACCAATGATGTTACTCAAAGACAGGGGTGGCGAATAGTAAAATCTGAGACGCCGAGATCCTAGTTAGAAATCCAAGCCCGAGACTCTTTGGTAAAAAGTTTCAAGACTCAAAAAAAGTAAAATCAAACCATGCAAAAATGAGACTTCGAGACTTACCAAAAACGCTTCCGAGATTTCGAGATCCTGGCAGAATTTTCCGAGACCCACGTTTTTCGAGGTACCGTTCGCCACCCCTAAAGATCACATGTGACAACTTTGTACTGTAAATTATGGGCAAAGCGTAATTGCAAAGTAGGCTTATTTCACACCCCCTGCCACAACAACAATATTATGACACATAAGGTGTAAGATGGTCTTACTTGTGGATAAGATTTGCCTGCGATATTCAGCTAAAACTTATTGCAGAGTTGTACAATGTAAATATTTGTCAAGTAGTCAATGGATTTGGAAGCTTAAATTCCCTGGGAAGTAATAAAACTAACAACCCTTTCACTCGAGATGATGTTTGCTTCAATCCACTGGCACTACTTTGTCACATTACCGGTACTTTTGTCAGGAAAAACGACAATATTTATAAGAACATTAAACACCAAAAACATTTCCTTGTTATCACCAAATCTTCATCACAAATAAGTATATTTTTGTATAATTAACAAGTACCATTAACATTGTGAAAGAGTATTTATAAACTCACAGTTCCTATTCCTTCATAAGCACCAGTCAGCTGGCCAAAGAAAATTGGAAGGGTGGACCATCTTACAAGACTTACATCTTTAGGCTTAAAGTGAAGGCCTAGAATACAAAGGATAACTATAAAGTATTATTTGGTTTACATGTAGGATTGAGGATATGGGTCTGTTACACTAATTAGCCAGCATGTTACAGTAGAGAGTTTTTACTTGAACTATGAAATAGGTAGTATGATACTACACACTATCATGCACTAATTCTGTTGCCTTCTTTTGTTTACCTCTTCCTATTTTGCACTATTGGTTAGTATCTGTTTCGCGGTTCAAGTAAAATCATTGTAAAAGCACTGACTACTTTTGACATGTACACCTGTAGTGAAGATTTGACTGGATGTACGTAACATTAGTATTGCTACTGATACTAAGGAAGTGTGTTTTTCTGCTGGCTGAAAAGTGAAGCAGAAAACATTTTTCTCCCACACGGCTGAGAGTATGAGTTCAAGTGTGTGGGGCCCAGGTCTCCAGTTCACATGGTGTTTCAAAGTTCAATTCAATGTTTTGTTCCAATCTGCCATTGCCAGACCTTCCCCACCCACCCACCCTCAAAATAGTTGTCTTGGGTTCTTTAAGGATTTAAAGCAGGGCCATAGTTCGGGTTGTTATTGTATCCAGTCTCAGTTTCTTGCCAGTGGTAGTTTTTTAGCTCTTTTGTGCCACACACGCGCGAGTGGAGCCCCACACCTAAGAAAATTTTGGTTATCTGTCCATCTAAGAAATTTTAGTAATCACTTGACCGTACGCCTGTCCAGCCGTCCGTCCGTCCGCACCACAGGGCAACCAATGTAATATGTCAAGTTTTCTAGCTAGTATTGGGGGCCTGTAACCAGTGTTTAATCTGATAATAGACATCCATATTATGGTCAATTGACAGGTCTCAAACCAGGGTATCCACTGACCAGTGTCACATGACCGTATTGCGGTCTCGGGTGCCAACTCATTGAGGTGACATGTTTTTTTTCTCAATTTTCTGTTGATCTGTTGTTAGCTTTTAGCTTTTCTCAAACTCATTTCAAGATTTTTTCATTTCAATTAATTTTTTGACTTAAAATGATAGAAGAAGAACCATGCTGAAGATAGGCTACCACTAAATCATTCTTCATTTATTAATTTGTTTCAATTATCTGCATCTAAAACTCTTACCATTCAGAAGAAATCCAAGAAGGCCTAAAAATCCAGCAAGAAGAGTCACATTAGCTATGCCACTTATAGGTCCAAGTTTACGGACACTCCTGACATAGGCCATCAGAACAAGAAATGGCAGAGGTATTAAAACAAGGAGAACAAAAAGAGGTGCTTTGGATATCCCTTCTAAAGGCGGTATCATAGTGGATGAATTCCTTAAGGTGGTAGGAGAGACAGTTGTTCCTGTGGTTACGACAATCAGACTCACCATAGTAGATGAGTTCACAGGTGCATTAGTACTTGAATATCCTGCGTTAACACCAGCCCAACTAAGTTGTTTAATAGGTATAAGACTGCCAGTTTTATACTTAAGTGGGAACATTTCTTCTATAGTATTCCCCATAAATATAAAATACGCAATGCAAAACCCAATCTGTGTTATGACCAACGCGATGTTCACAATTCTATATCCCCATGGTCCAATTGCAATCTTTCCAATATCACCCAAAGTCATTTCCTTTTCAATTGTCTCCTTGACTTTCACCATTTCTTCGTAACATGCCTCTGTTTTAAGCTCTTGGTACTTTGAAGACGAGTGGAGCACCATCTCAACAGCAGCATTTTTACATTTGATTATGAGCTGACAGCAGTGGTCTGTTATGGCAGCAATGATTACCAGTCCTACAACACCCAGCTGAAATTAAACATCAACCACTCAGTTGAGTAAAACTAATAAAAATTGGATTCTTTGTATTATTATCTGACATTTCCTCTCAGATTGAGAACCAATTTATGTGTATATTTTACCGAAAAGTTCCGAAAGAAACGACTCCCCAAAAGTAACCTAAGCATTAAAAGACAGTAACAGTGCCTCTGTCGTCTGTAGCAAACTAGAGGTTATTCTTTCCTTTTTGTATAGTTAATCATAAGACTTGGGAGTTCAATTTGGAGTTTATTTGCATAAGTGAATTTTCCAAAAAGTATCAAAACTGCATGAGCCCATAGGGCGAATGCAATGAGCTTTTTGAAAAACAAATGAGGGCATTCTTGTAATTAACCGACACATTCAGTCAGCATCATAAAACATAAATTATACATATTTTTTATATTACTCACCACAATTCCACTTTGATAAAATGCAAATGGCAAGGACAGATAGCTTGTACCAATGAATGCTTTCAAGACATTTGCAAAATCAGTAAACTGTTGCCAAAGTGATGGTCTGAAATATAGAACATTTAGCACTTATAATCATTTGACTAGATCTCTCTGTCAAATTTTATACTTAAGATTCAAAAACAACTTCCCTTGATGACACTTTTTCTGTGTTCAAAGGAATTATTAAAGTCAATCTAAAGATAATGTGTCCAGGAAAAAATGTACAATCTCTTAGCGTTAGCCACATAGAAACACCTGTGAAGGTAAAACATTAAAATCATCTTAAACAGGTTAAAGAGAGTGTTTGAACACAAAATCCACCTGAGGAATAATTTTTGTGCATCCTGTACTCTACTACTCTCACTGTGGACTTTTTTCTCCAAGAAAATGAATTTTTCCACATAACATAAAACATACCCTGGAAAATAGACTTATTCATTTACATTGTACATATTGAGAGCTGTGTGGCTCCGAGACATAACATTACTTATTGTTGGTAATTCCCCTCCCCCCAACCCAGAATGAATTCTTTGAAAACTGCATGGAGATAGGCCTGCAAGCAAGCCCTCCATTTCAATTGGAGAGTTCAATTCAATTCAATTCTTTACTTCACACTATATAAGATATTTACAAGTGTACATAGGTAGGAAAATAAAGTAGCTGACAAATAATAATTAACTAAAAGACATTAAGTTCATTTGTGTACAGTGTCCAAAGTAGCAAGAGCTTTCTTGCTGGACACCGTCATGTTGAAATAATTGGCTGCAGTAAAGAGAGGAATAACATCTCAGATAATATCAGTGATAGAACATATAAGCAAGGTCAGATTTGGTTGGTTAGGAGATAGGACTTCCATTCTTTCTTAAACTTAAACTTAAGTTTAAGAACATGCAAAAATTGTAACTGGGAGGAAAAATGAGAGTCCCACAGAACTTCTCATGAAACCCCTCAAATGGAGAGCTTGCTCATGCAGGGCAAAAAACTTTGACTCATCCGCTTGTCTGAGACAAGTACCGTATTTACCCGTGTATAATGCGCACTTTTTTTCCCTGAAATCGACCTTCAAATTTACGATGCGTATTATACACGGATTCCATTGTTTGGTCAAGAAAACAAAAGAAGACAAAAACTTTGCAGTAATTGATGTTTAATAAACGCAGTAAAGTAAACTACCAATGAACTGTTTTCAATTTCGATCCATGAGTAAATTAAAATGCCTATTTAAGAAACAGCTGATCGAGGAAAACAACATGTGAGATTGTCACTATAGCGATCATGGCTACGAAACTTACCACTTCAAGTTACAAGATTTGTAAAACATTTGACTTTTATTAAATAGAAAGGCGTGTAAATAGGTGCTTGGTGCATGCGATATTTGTAGTTTGTTGTAAACATGTCATTAATGAACTCCCAGCTCTTGTTAATTAAATGGAAAAATGGAAGTTTTACCTCTTGGTGTTTATCTTGAAATCTTTTTTTTTAGAATAACGTGGTCAAAAATTAGGGTGCATATTATACACAGGCTTGCATTATACACGGGTAAATACGGTAGGTTTTGGCCTCGGACGACTGAAACTCATAAAGCACTCGTCCAACCGGACAAGCAAAATTTATCATAAGCGAAATTTTTTTTTCAGCTTTGTACATTTTAGGCATCCTACTGATGAACAGTTACAACACATAGATATCATTTTTAGCAACTACTATAATTTGCAGTCTGTCCACTTTGTCTTTGTCTTATCTGTGCCTGCCCACCTTGATAATTGGTGTTTCTTCTACTTTGCTATCAAATGACGGCGACTTCTTCACATTCCATAATGCAAGTATCTTTGCACACCGGGTGATCGATCTTTTTATATGTGTGTGTGTGTTCTACCCACAGGCCGGTCCTTCAGGACTTTCAATTCTGTCCCTAAATTGTTGAACAATCTTACCCTGATTATTAGAAATATGCCTTCAGTTAATGCTTTTAAAAAGGCTCTTAACACGCATTTGTTTCAGAAGGCATTTCCCCGCCAATTTATTGTTTTTATTCTTTTCATAAAGAATAAAAAATAGAATTTTAGATTTATTACTTTTATTAAATTATTAACTGCAATTTGTAAATAGGACTTTACAGAATAATTAACCATTACTTTTAGAATTTTTAGAATTAGAATATGTACTACAGTCAAGTGGAAACTCCACATAACAAAGTCCTTGGTATAAAGAATGATTTTGTTTACCCCAGTAATAGTAAAATATATGGAAACGAACCTCAGTATAAAACAAAACCTTGTTGTAGTGAACAAATTTTGCCAGTCCCTTGGCACTTCATTATATTGAGGTTCCACTGTAGGAATGTAGCCTTTTTAACAGAATTTTAAAGTAGAGTTTGAGGAGTCAATGTAATGCACAGATGTAAATTAATTTCTTTCCCTGCATTGATATTTGCACAAGACAAATCAACAAATATTACTATTATTATCATTATTATCATCATCATCATTATTATTATTATTATCATTATTATTATTATTATTATTGTTGTTGTTGTTGTTATTACTTTGCAGGCCATCACTACTATATATTATGTGAAATAAATAAAGGTTGTTTTTGTTGATTAAAATTATTGACAGCAAATAATTCAATGTTTTTAATTTAAAAAAGGGTCACCTGTCAATACATACTTGTTTCTTTCCATGAAAAGAAAATGGATCTTACCCTTTCATTCCCAACTGTTGCTGTATAATGGAGTAATAAGCAAGGTGGCTCACTCTTGGGGACAATTATGGTGTGATCTACATGTATCTTGTTCCTCAGCATTTAACCAAATGAAATTTGGAAATTTTCCTGAAAATATTTGACTTTGGCCTCTTTTGGGTCAGCTGGTATATTAAATTACAACTTTTTTTTCACTTTTCAAGAATTTTAGAAACCTTGCACCTAGAAGTTAGATTATTTCCAGTTTATACGAAATCCTAAGAAAATTAAACCAATTTTGAAAAATTTTATTCTTTGATACAGTCTACAGAAAGAAGACAAATTGTCTAATCAGGAACAACATTGAACTGAATCAATCAGACATGGAGCCGCATGCATTAATTTCCTCTATCCAAACATAAACAACTCATTGTAGTTGCTCTTCTCCATATTAGCTGTTTTCTACCTTCCATTTCTCGTAATAGAGTGTAAAAATTACAAAATCACGTGCTTGTAAGTTGTTTTCGTAAGAGACGACATGAAAACCGTCTATTCAATGTGCTATGATTGTAGGAGCCCATATGCTACCGCGGATTTGTCCCGCGAGCCGCCATTCAAACCCGATGGTGATTTAGTACGTACGTACCTTATGAGCGCCGCTTGTGAAGTCCTGGACGTGACAGACGCGTAACCTGTCATATTCTTATGATTGCAAGTTAGCGCATTGCTTTGTATTCATAAAAAGGTTGCTGAAGCAGATATATTTGCTACAAAAGATCTACAAAGTACTTTGCATACAAATCCAACGAAATCGGAAACCGTGCTTTCACATGATCAGTGTCACGTGACAAATTCACAGGATAGAGGCGTGGGAGGGTATGGGAGATTTTGGGCGCTTTCCATTTACGAAAAAAACCCGGAAATTTCGGTGGTAGCAAAAGTGGAATTTCCGATTGGCAAAAAGTTGTTCCATTTGGTCGTAAACCCCGGTACGTGGCGCGGTGCCCGACCGTGGACCTGGAACTGGTACAAACTACGAGAAACGTAAATGGAACACGACATTCCGTTCGGAAATTCCAACCGGGAAAACGGGACCACCTTTTTAGATTTTCCACTTTTTCTGGGAATTTTCCAGTGGGACGAACCGACGAAATGTGTTCCATTTACCGCCGAACCGGAAATTCCGGAAATTTTGACTAAATGGAAAGCGCCCTTTGTCTCAAAACGGCTTCCAAGTGGCTCTAGAAGCAAAGGGACAGTAAATAACAAAAAAAAACCACAAGGTGAGTCATTTTTTTTCTATTTTTGACAAAAAATGGAGTTTAGGACGTATTTTGTTTATGCATTCTCTTATAAATTCAAAGCGAACTCCCACAGTATCTGGGCTAAAAAAACTCAGTTTTTATTGTACAATCAAAAAGGACTATAGCCCTCGCCGTACCTGGTTTTAACAAGAAAAAAACCCTCAAGAAAAGCATTAGTTAAAATTAGATTAAGTAGTCATCAACTTTGAATTAAAACAGGTAGATCCGAAAAAATCCCTCGCAATGAAAGTATATGTTCCATTTGTAACAGTAACAAAATTAAAGATGAAAATCATTTCTTACTAGATTGTAAGGCCTGTTCTCTGAGATTAGAGACGTATTTTACTCCAAAATAGAACTTCAAATACCTAACTTCAAATCACTTTCACTCGATACTTTAATAGCTCATCTTATGAATTCTTCTAATTATTTTTTATAAATAACTGTCAATTAGTTTTATTTATCTCCACTACTTTGAATTAAGAAACAACTTAATATCAATGAATGAATGAGATCTGTAATGTTTCAAAATGTTTTAAAATAAATTAGTCATGGTTATGCAAATAAAGCTTTTGTTGTTTTTATTGTAGTCATGCCTTTTTTTCGGGCGGTCTTTGACTCTCGTTCCTCTTTCGTTCTTTGTTCCGAAACCGCACGGAAACGCTTGCTACGCCGGTTGCCTGAGCGTGGAATGGGATCAGAGGATCGGCTGTCTCCGATTTTCGCTTTAATCTTCTCCTCTTCCCCCAGAAACACCTGATTCTTACGTAAATTCACAATCACTTAGCATGACGGTCATCGTCAGCATAATACAGTAGTCGAAGTCATATGATCCACTCAGTGATCGCCGCAGTGCAGGTGTGGACCCAAACTGGGGTATTATAATGGAAATTGAGGACTGCCTTTATCGAGACTTTCAAAATAATCAACGGTTTTGCGAACTATGGTCAGAATATGTTTGGGACGAATACAGCTTATCGAACTCATAATCTTTATGTCACTTCTCATCATCCATTAAGATCAGCGCATGACTTCTTTAACAAAAGACTTATCAAATATTGGAACCAGCTGCCACTATGCGTGGGAAATTCACCCAGTATCAACGCCTTTAAGGCTGGTCTTGACCTCTTTAAGTTTCGACTAATGGATTCTGGAAATTATCGGAAGAAATCTTTAATAGAATAAGCAATAAAAGTGGACATGTCAATTTTTCACTAGCCAATCGCGATGTTGCCATGCGGAAAAATATCTTGTTTTAATAATTAATTTTGTCGTTCTCTGCTTTTAGTATCTTTCTAATTTTAGAACTCTTGTGATAATACATTTTTTAATTTTTATCACATGTTCATAATAATTTCGTAAATAGATTTTTGTAAATAGAGATATCCTGAAGAGATATAATAAAGTTATCTTATCTTATCCTATCCTATCGCCTGCCTCGTCCCCACTAACTCGCGATCACTGGGGGATATTTGAGTTAATTATTAAGGAAAGCAGGGACCAAGGGGTGGTCGCGCTCTACGCTCGTTCCCATCACCCCTCTCTCGCGCTTCTCGCTTGTCTCGCGTGCTTGCGAGTTGGGAAAGCCTGTGGAGGAGGCAGCCCTATCGCCGTGCGCGACGCTAATTGCTCAGTCAATTCCAAGTGCGCCCATCGCCCCCCGGGTTTTTGTCGGGCATTTGTCATTTTGTTTTGGAAAAGCTGCAAATGCCCCAAGGTAGGGCCAGGCGTTCATACAAAAACTCACCTCTGGCTTTCCCCATTAATTTTAGTCCGCTTCGCAGCCGTTATTAGGGTCGTCACGCAACGCTCCTCCACACAATGTTTGTGGGGAAGAGAGTTGCTAACCTGCGTCACAGACACTCTAAACCTTCTGTATAGAGAGTCTATACAAATGGTTTCAGATGAAACCTCGTTCCCAGGGTCCCCTCTTACTCGGACCCCGTCGGCCCCCGTGGCCTCAAAGTTTCAACAGTTCCAGCTAATGTGATAATCCTGTACACAGATTTCACTCTGTCTTAGGGTGAAGGCGGGAGATCTGGGTACGAGATTACCAAAGTGACTAATCTGATCTAACGGAAATTCCAAAAATTATTGTAGTTCTAAGCTTATGAAAAGTAAAAGGCTCAATTTTGGTGTTTTAAATACTTTTTACTGGGCTGCCTGTGGCACAGCCCAGTTATAAAATAGGCTCAATTTTTCCTTCTGGCACAAATCGCACCCTGGTACGTTCACCGCGTGCGCAAGACATAAGAGTATGCGTAGAATAGGTCAGCGGACTTCAGCAGAGTACATTCTAAGGAGCTCGAAGCGACTCGAAGCTATGAGCAATCTATCTTCGGTGGAAGCGTAAGAATGCCAAAACGTAGCCTGCGTAGCAGCCCGCGCTTGGAAGTAGCGGGCACAAGCAAGAGAGAATGAGCGAGCGAGCGAAAAGAAGACACGCGAGAGGAGAAGGAGCTCCCTCACCCCTCACGTGTCTCCCTCGAGCGCGCCCGTTCTCTCTTTCGCCCACTACTTCCAAGCGCCTGCTACGCAGGCTGGCCAAAACTACGAATGTAAACGCTGTTGATGGTAAGCCCATAGTAAAAGATGGCAAGAGTACATTTTGGAAGTGGTATAGTTCATGAACATACGAGAGACCTGCATTTACACGTGGACTCTTGCGAGTTAATCTTAAGTGAATATTAAGTGAGCTACCTCGTGCTACTGTGTTAAAAGCGCTAAGAGAATCACCCGAATTAACTGTTAAAACTGAAACTGTTGGGTACGTAAACATTACGAGCAACTGGATCAGTGAAATTCAACAGTGTTTCTAATCGACTGAACAGCCTTACAGAAGAATTTAGTACTTCAATCACCAGCTTTTGGGTAACAATAGGCAGCCCAAGCGCACTATGTGTGAGTTCGGGCTTCAGAGGTCATTTGGTCGGAATATACTAAAATTATTAGTGTATTATCTGATGCCAAATAAATGCAAGATATCTTAAAGATATAAAGTCTTCTTGTTTTTCTATCTGTACTAGTAGCCTTTAAGACAAGACGCTGTGTGAGCGTATATTTGGGCTCGGTCGTACTAAGGGTATGATACCTTTAACACGCCTTATTGCAGCAAAAGAACTGTCATCATATCTTACCAGAGAAGACAAATCCTTTACTCCACTTGTTTGCTGAACAGCTTATACAATATGTCCCAAACCACAACAAAAATAGTGTCATTTCACGACAATGTTTGAAAACATGCACATCTTCAATGCAGACATGCTTGGAGCCAAATTACAACATAGGACATAATTGGTTACAGCCCGGAGAATAAGGTTTACCTCAGCTCCACTGATACTGACAGATGTGTTTTCACACCCATCACTTTGTACAGTGTATTCCAATTACTAACGAGGGCAAATAAAGTTCCTTAAGTCCAGCATCCACAAGGGTTAATAAAAGAGTAACACATTGCATAAATTAAACTGCTATAGGGCAGCACTATTTACAGGAACATTGGTAACTATTAACATTTGATACACTACAATTTTCAACATTGCTTGAGAAAAGATGAGGTTTAAAGGTGTTCCTCTTAGGAAACGAAAGTTTTCTTCGACGGGTTAAAAAGGTCATTGTTTATGATTTGTGATTGGTGGATTTCGATCCGTTTTTTGAGTTTCTGTGTTTCAAGGTTCGTTGCTAGTGATCTTCTTACGACCAAAACCCAACGTTAATATTCCAACTATTTTTGATAGATTTCATCCGTGGACTTCAGACTTCCAAATTTCGATGAGGCAAAAATACTGAAGATTCAGATTAACTTTTGAGATCGTAAAAGTGCGATTACGTGCCGTGTGCAAGCAGAGTTTTCTTTCCCACATGCCTCTTACCTTGTACAAGACGTTCACATGGCATACATTCGCCTCGCTTCGCTTGTTTACTCGCCTTGTTTACGTTAGCACGTATTGCGTGCCTATTGCACATTTGCGTCAAAACAAGCCGTTTCCATTACTCTATTTGGGCCACGCCCAAATAATAACGAAGGTCGATATTTCTTGCATTATTACATGTAATTCGGGCCCTTATTGTTCGAATTTTATCACATGTATTCGAATCTACAATGCTAAGAAAAAAAAATTTTGAATGAATTTGAGTTCGCCGTTGACTGTTCCATAACAGTGAACGGCGAACTCAAATTCATTCAAAATCGCTCAAAAACCGCTTTTGAAGCAAAAGGACGACTATACACCACAGGCAAGGTAATTCAACGTTTATTTATCATTGATTTATATCAGAAACTCATAAGGGGTTGAAACGCGTAACTCTCAAATGTTTGCTTTGTCTGATGCTCGTGATTATTCATTTTCGAAAGTACCATATTTGGAACGAGAAGAAGAGATAACTGACCAATCAAACTTCGTAAACAACGTGACGTAATTTTACTTCATGTTCCCGTGCCCGCTTGAAAAAAATGGCCGACAAACGGGGGAAAAACTCCCGAAAGCCGAGAAAGCTTTCAAAGGTTGCAACCAGGA